GAAGAATCGTAGTGTGGTTAGATTTGCACGTGCTTGAGGTTAGCGTAGCGATACGAGTCAGTGAGTTAAGTTAAACTCCCAGAGCACTATTTTCCACTGCCAGGACAGACTTCAAATATCTCTGTCAGTGGTAAATGACATCATAATTCTTCACCCATCTTTAGACACTGATAAAATTATGTTCAACACATTAAAATGTATGAAAAAAGTATATTATAACGTCACATACTGTATCTATATCTATTTAAGGGGCTACAGTTAACAATTATATTTAATTTTTAATTATTAAGTAATTTGCTTGATTCTAATTAATTAAGATTATCAAAATAGTTCCCAAATAATCATCATTAATTAACTGAATTTCTATAGACTTACAAGATAATTTCAGCTCTATATCTATATGTGTAGAACTAGAAATGTTGTTGCAATGCTTGTATTGTATGTATTGTATTGTTTGTTTGGCAGAGTCTCTTTGGCCAAAGGTCGGTGTTCCCCTCAAAGTCGTGCGAACCAAAGAGAACAAGCTGAGTAATCGCTTCTTCCCCTACGACGAGATCGAAACAGAAGCTGTGCTAGCGATTGATGATGACATCATCATGCTTACATCTGATGAACTGCAGTTTGGCTACGAGGTGGGAAAAACAGCCCCCGTTCAAAAAACCTTGACATACTTTCTCATCCTTCCTCTGATGGCAGGTATTGCAGGGAACCATTTCAAGTTGATCCCAGTGTTTAAAGTCATTCAGGGAGATTACAGTCTCAATCTCCACTAGTTGTGGATTTGACTGCCTGCTGAATGTGTTTGATGTGTGAAGAATGATGACAGGTCTAAGGCTGATGCTTTCCATGCCCACATACCTGCCCAGGCCCCACTTAGCCCGGCACACTCACCTGAATCCATTTAGAAGCTATTTAATAAAATTGTTCTCAGTTTAAGGATAATTACATAGAATTGCAAGCAGTCTGTCTGACTAGATGACAGTACTTCCAGCTCGCAGTAGAAGGATCAGACTGGCTGCTGGTGTCAAGCCTGAGATATTCACCTACTCGTAAAGACACTGCAAACTGATACTGATACTGCTGAAAATAATTTGAATCTCAGTTGGGATTTTTGGCTCAGACAGAAACTTTCAGAGGTATTTTGAAATTTAGGACTAAATTGTTAATTCTTAAATGTTCTTTTCAATACTGTCTAATCATTCATCCATTAGTGTAAGCCATCAGTTCTCACCTTAGTTTAAATCACCTGAAAATGTCTGACAATCTGTCTTCTGTTCTGCTCCAGGTGTGGAGGGAGTTCCCAGACAGGCTGGTGGGCTACCCAGGCCGGCTGCACCTCTGGGACCATGAAATGGGGAAGTGGAAGTATGAGTCTGAGTGGACCAATGAGGTCTCCATGGTTCTAACTGGAGCTGCCTTCTACCACAAGGTGACCTGGGAAGCCTGGTTGAAATTAAGCAGTTTGCCTTTAGAGCTACTCATAGATGTTAGAACTTTTGCTTAGTAATGATGCACATAGAACCAATTTGAAAAGGAAATTGTCCATTATATCAGGAGATCATATAGAAAAATGAATATTTGCCGAAGGGATTAGAGAATTTCAAGTAGACCTGTTTTGGGTATGCGTAGACAAGAAGATTACAGTGATAGACGAGCTGACTGCCATAGGTAGAGCAAGGTTATCTCTACTTCTACTTAAACCTCACACACGCACTTAAGTTCAAAGCAGATTCTAGTGCAATGGTTCCTCCTACATACTCTTGGGTCAAACAGCGCCTGCATTATTTGTGTCTGCAGTATATCTATATGACACCTTGTAATCATTTGTTTCCATTCCAGTACTTCAACTATTTGTACACATACAAGATGCCAGGAGACATCAAGAACTGGGTGGATGCTCACATGAACTGCGAAGATATTGCCATGAACTTCCTGGTGGCTAACATCACAGGCAAAGCCCCCATAAAGGTACATTCATAGCCCTGACTGACCTGGGTGCTTTAAGCTCGCAGGGGGAGGCTGAAGCCTGCCAGAGCACACCAGCATTTCTGGGTTTGATCAGCTCTCACCCTTCGGCTTCTCTGCCCCCCCCATCACACTGACTGTGCCCAGGTGTGGGGGCCCGAGCTAAAGCTCGGCCTTAACCTCCCTTATCAGGGTGTCACTCACTGGCACTCCCCCTTGGAGTATGTTTTCCTAAGCTCACCGGGGCTCACGCACACCCTGCCAACAAATCACAAGCTGCACACTTCCTTGCGCCTGCACCCGCGCTCCCACCTCCCAGCACATCTCCTACAGGTTCCTTCAGAAAACACTCACCCTCTCCACTCAGCCATTTTTGTCTGTCTTCCTCTGTGTGTCTCTCACTTTCTTCTACACACAGATACATTCACAGGTTCAGAGCATGTGGTACAGGCATGTGTCAGGGGTGTCGATGTGATGGAGGTTAGACAGAGAAATGCCATACATCATCTCTCTCCAACTCCACTGATGAGAATTCAGAATTTTTTTCCCCACGCTGTGCTTGACAAAAGTTCTAGTAGGATGTAATGTAGTGAACTGGTGTGACTTTGTTCTGCTTCTTTTTAGGTGACCCCCAGGAAAAAGTTCAAGTGCCCTGAGTGTACTGCCATTGATGGACTGTCCCTGGATCAGACACACATGGTGGAGAGGTATGGCACTTTGTTTTGGAAATCTGGATGAAATGAGCACCGTAGAAATGTATATATATATATATATATATTTTTTTTTTTTTTTCTTCTGTCACCATTTTTGCATGTTTGTACTACATTTTAGCCTTTTTTTTAAAGTAAATGTTTTCATCCCTAGATCTGAGTGCATCAACAAGTTTGCATCAGTTTTTGGTACGATGCCTCTGAAGGTGGTGGAACACCGTGCAGACCCAGTGCTCTACAAAGACGACTTCCCAGAGAAGCTCAAGAGCTTCCCCAACATCGGCAGCCTCTGACCATCCGGTAACAGATGTTTGGACCTCGTCACAGCCGCAACACTTCAAGATTTATCACCAACATCGTCTTTTATATCAAGACGTCAATATTCAGACTAAAGCGGTTCATGCTCCTGTCACTTCTCAGTTCAAGTGACTTGCTTTGATTTTGAAATTTTAAACACAGAATTGTACAGGACATTAAGTTAATATCTTGAATGACAGGTGACACTGAAATCTAGGAATGGTGACAAGTATGATGACGGTGATTTTTTTATTTGGCTTAAAGTAAAAGATATTATTATAAAGGTGTACCAGTCCTAATGCCTAGACTAATGTTACATGAACTTCTTTTGGACGGTCACCCTGAGTGTGATATTTGATGGACAGGCTGACTGAGTAGATGCTTGCAGTCCCTCACTGTTACTGTTTTGTAGCTGAAAGCTTTGGGATCCAGCTGCTCTGGAATCAGCATATACAGTGTATATATATTTGTATTTTGCAGCAGTGCTGTATAGTAGTCATAATTTATGATGCTCCAACTAGTTATTTTCTTCTTTCAAAAGCTGACATGGACCTGATTCTTTTAGCCGTACTGTATGAAAAGGAAAAGTTATAAATGTTTAATTTACATGATATATAGTAAATAATTAAATGACATATCTATGTAGGCTTTATCCAATGGTTAATTGAATGTTATGATCACACACAGCATGGTGGCTAACAGATAATGAACAATAAATGCTTCACATACGGTCTGTTTTACACAATCAGATTGGGCCAAGCTGGTACCATAAATCTTATATTTTGAGTGAATAACTGCTGATTTTAAAATATTGATGCTGAGCTACTGGAACATCTTGAATGGTAATTTCATACTGCCTGAGCAAGACTTCTGATATAAATATATAGGAAAAGCAGTGGTTGCTAATTGAATCATTCACTGAACAATTTCATTAGTTGTGCGTATGAACAATGCATAAACATAGAGGTTTAATTTGTTTTCCATGTATTTGAAGATATACTATATAGTGAAGAGAGAATACGCAAATACACCCTTTTGAAAACTGATGTGTATAAGTTGTTGATGCAATGCTTTGTTTTTTATTTTCCATTAAACCTGTTGTGTACGTTTTTATATTTTTGTCCTTTTGATCACAACTTGTCCCAGCTCCAGTATTTAGGCTTTAACATTGAGAGCAGCACAGTCTGTAAAATGTTAACATTACCTTGTTATTTGCCTTTTTTTATTATTATTATTTTCATAAGGTCAGTGAAATTGTTTTAAATTTTTTGACTGTTTATGTATCTAAGTGTATATATGACTTTGTAATGCACAAGTAAAGATCACACTAATATGTCTCACAGTTTTAGTGTTCTTTTTTTCCCATCTATGTGCGAGTGAGGTGGGAAGAGGATGAAATGAGACTTTTTCATGTCTGTCTTTATTCCATACTCAAACCTCAAAACTTTCAGAGCAGACCCTCCGTGACACGGACGATCCACTGTTCCCTCCAGTCTGTCACCTGTTGTTAATATACCCTGCCTAATCCACCCTGTTCAATGTCAGCAGTTCAAAAGGGCGCAGTTCGTATTTTTGTCAACTTCAATTAGTGTGATACTCTTGCGGGTTGTGCGATCTCATTTCAGCACTCGAGTCCCTTCAAAGGGACTGAAATGCGCTGGGATTTCAGAATGTGACTACAGGGATGACACAATATTTTGGCAGGGTGGTGCAAAGCAATAACACTGCACATTCATTGGTTCTTATCAGCAGACAACTTATTCACAAGTTGTGGCCAACCAGTATGTTTAGCCGATGACTTGAAAAGGCTTTTCTGCAAACTGCGAGTGACTTGAGTGACCTCTAAATACGAATCAGAGAATAGTTGTCTTGATTTTTCTCTGTAGTGTGTGGAAACAGTGGTTTCAGGGAACCACCATTACCTTGCAAGAAATTCTATCCTCTATATACTGTGGCTTTTGCTGTATAAACATTGTCAGTCGTGTACTATATTTCATAACAAACTAAATGACAAACACTGATTCTGAATAGAAGTGAAATAACTTATTGTACTTTAATCACACGCAAAACGTAACACAAGCATTAGTAAATTCATACACTCATTTCAAAAGACAGCTTAAAGCCACAAAAACTGAAGAAAAAAAAAAAAAACTTTTGAAACTTGCAAGAATTACATATTGAGAGAAAAACAATGTTCAAACACAACTCTGAAAATACAGTTTTGCCATGTAACACCAAATGAAAAATTTCATACACTCAAATACTCGATAAATTGTCTCACAAAATAAAACACAAAATCTAATTAGTAATATTTCCAAGAGTCTTATAACACTTCAATCCATTTTGCATGCACACAACAGCACACATATTTATCATATATCTACTCCTATACTGATTGCCTGACTTCAGTAGTATTAGAAAATGAGAAAAGTGGATGATGGTATCATCACTCAGGGATGGAGTTATGCAGCATACAGAAGAGAAGAGGCTTTTTATGTTAAGCTAATCTTGCATTTACAGTCTATGAGATTGTAGGGCATCACTGGAGATGTTTCAAAGAATAATGTTAAATACACAGGAAATAGTGAAAACAATGCGTATGTACTGTGTAAACCTGAGCTACTGAATGCCAGTATGTCTGTGTGCACTGTGCAGAGGAACAGTCTACATTAAACCAACGAGAAGACAGACGGTCCTGTCTGTCCTGACACACAATACTGCAATCCACAGCCTCCACATGGCTCAGTGTTAATTAAAAAGCCTTCCTGGGTTGGCCGTGCGGCTGTGCCTCGGACCCTGCGATTGGGGTCTGCTGCTTTCAGCCAGTGGATATAGTGGAAGTGAGCGAAGGGAGAGGCGCAGTGCAATGCGTATGTGTGTATAGAGGTGGGTCATGGGGGGGGGGGATCTTTGAAAGCAGAGCCATGACAGCTGAGGGGGAAGCATGTGTGAGGCATGTTTGTTTTGCATTTACCCCCTGAGCGCAGCTGTGTGCACTGTCCTTTTCCCAGAACACCGGAACACAGCAGACACCCTCACGGCTCGCCCTCCGTCCAACCCCACAGCTAGAGCACAGGGGGGCCCGTGTCCACATTTACAAGGAGACCCTTTCAGTTTTGAGATACGCACTCTATAATCAGGATTATGCATACGCCTTAGATTTGGGCCGGAGAGTAAAACTGGATGTAATTTGGAGGACTCCAGGGAGATCTGCTCCACTGACAGGTTATAGCCTGCACCCCGATTCTCTTACCTGCCCAGAAGGACAGTGAATGTGGTTCAGTTTAGAGAATTAGCAATGGTTGCTCTGCCTGAAGGTGTACAACAAGGTATCAGGTTTGCTTTTCAAAACCATAAAAGCCTTTGTTATGCTTAAGGCCTAAATCAGGCCTTGGAAACAAAGGAAGAACATGCATAACCTCATTGTTGAACCCTCATCTGCTATTTATGTCACTGGCAGTTACCAGGGGAAAAACAAAGTTCACTATTTAAATATTTGAATGATACAAGCATATGGATATATGGATATGATTTGGGTTCTGAGAGATCTCATCTCTGGCTGGTTCCAGCTCAATTTAACCTCTACGTTGCCGTCCCTCTTCTCTGTCTCTTTCCACAGAAAAAAACAAGCACAGGCTTATTGTTCCAAACCTAGATAGAAGTAAACAGGGAGTAATCAGAGTGGAGACAAGGAACACAATTCCTTTTGGCGCTTTACCCTGACATGTTAGTGGTTTTACTAAAACAGGTCCTGCTCAGATGTAATGCCAAAAAAACTAATGAAGCTGGGCTCAAACTTCAGACTTGATCCACACCCCCAAACTTTGGGACAGTACCTGCGTAGTTATGGCGTCTTCTATTACTCTACACACTAACCTTTTTGACTATTTTAATCTGTAACCATGGCAGGATTGATATGTTTGCTGTTGGGCCCATGTTGCTTACCCAGAGACCCCAAAACCAACCAGTACACCTATACTGGAATACTACAGTCCAGTAGATCCCAGGTTTTCTGTATGTCAAGTCATTTGTTTAAACACCACTTTATCTAGGATCATACACTATGTGAGGACAATATAAATTAAAATAATTCAGGTTTTAGAACTAGACTTTGATACATGGCCTCTCTGTACAAGATAAAGCCACAATAATGCAGGACCCAGTTGATACTGCACTTTAACAGTGCAAATTCACAAACAAATTTGCAAGTAATCCAATTACCAAAAAAAACACCCAACACACAGAGAATCTGGGAGTTTGGATCCCTGGTAAAGTCTCTGCTAGTACCTCAGCCATACCATCAATCCCACAGAAATTCCTTCAACTCTTCCTGTTGCCTCATTCACTAAAATTGAATACTGTCTTCCATCCTCATTTAGGGATTTGTTAGATGTGTATGTCATGAATAGATGCATGTTTTTTGTGGTGAAATAGGACTTCAAGGTGTCTGAAGCTGGAGGATGAAGATGATATTTACTTGAGCCTGTGCTGAGTGGTCCAAGGTGCCACATCGAGCTGAGATGTAATTAAAAACCTTACTGGAGACAATGAAGGTAACTCTGCGGTAATCTTGTCGATGGCTTCTTCGTTTGGTTTTGACAGAAATAACGAGGAAAAGTAGAGAAAGAAATACAATAACAATTGCCAGCACTGCTTCATGACCATTCGCCATTCTACAACAGCCAAACACAGCTGTGTTAAAGTCCAGAAAAACGCTGTTGAACACTGACATCCTTTCAGTGTTTAAAAGTGTCAACACACTCTGTGTAATCTCCACCAGCCTCCTCTGTTTCAAAGGTGGCTGCTGCTGGTTTCGTTGTTATTTCTGGCAGAATGACTGGCTAGTAGGCACTTCTCTCTCTGAAACTCCTGAGACTGGAAATGCAAGGGGCACAGTCATGTCCACTTGGAGTCCGTCCTCCTAAAAACAGAGCTGGGTCTGTTTGGAGGCTGGCGCTCCCAGGCTCTTCAGCCCTGAGAGCAGCAGGCCTGCTGTGCCCCTCTCATACTCCCACACACCACTTCCTCCTCCATCCCTTCCTCTCACTGGCCATCAGCAGACTGAGTCAGTGCGGCAGGTGGATCTCTCACCCTGACCGCACTAAAACAAACCACATTTCATCTGTTTGACTTTTAAATGCTGGAGGGCAGAACCACTTCTGACCTTTTTAGCAACTGAAATGTTTGTGTTGAATCTGAGAAGCTTCATAATGTGACAGATATAAACAGTTTTCTATAGCATTATCATACAACAGTGTGACTTAAGTTACACCTTTTTGCATGTGCTAATGCTGATAAAGATTGCCTTAGAATAATATGTACATGGCATATAACAACTAAACTTTAATTTCAGTTTTTTAAGGATGCTTGCATAACAAAATGACTGGATGGGAAAAAAACAATAACACTCAAAATTTAAATAATAAGGTAGGAATAAAACAGCCCCTGAACAGAGAACTACAATGACACTGAAAGCACTGTACAAACAGAATTTCCTGTATTTGAGCAAATAAGTGCATGGATTTGTTTGAAATTATTAAACTTTTCCTAACTTTTTCCTTCGCCTATCATCAGTACTACACTGCAACTCCTGTTATACAGTACAGCATCATCTCCCACCAGGCTTTCGACAAAAGCTCACCCTCCCACTGTGGTTGCTTTCTCCCATCAGAGGGGTTGAGAAACATGGCAGTGCCACGTCACTTATCAAATATCTTGTTTTCTCTTTGAGTAATCTTCACCCATCCTTGTATTTGCATAATTAATTTATTGCAACATTTATGAAGGTAGTCACTGTTGCCTTTAGAGTTTTCAATTTTAGTGCCCCCTCACCCCATGCTGGGTTTGTGTAGACATTTCAGAGGTGAACAAGGTCCCCCCCATCCAGCAGGTATCAACACATCATGTGGCCCAAGATATGGCTGCACTGTGCTCTTTGGCCTTCATGCGCAAAGCAGCGATACTGGAGGACTTGCGGTCAGGGTCCATGTTGAGATCGTACGTGTTGATGCCTGTAGACATGCCAGGAGATCCACCAAACAGGCTGCCCATGTGAGCCTGTCCCATATGACCTCCGGGGCTCGGCACGCCCAGAAAATCGGACACCCCACTGGCAGAGTGGGGGTGAGGTGTCATACAGGGAGTCACAGTGTCACAGGGCACAACGCAGCCTGGCACGGGAGATGCTGCGCTGCTGCCACCGATCCAAGAGGGATTCTGAATCTGAAATATTGATGAGAAATCAATATTGTTAAAGAGTGGCAGAACTGTGGCATTAACCCCACTGACTTCTTTCTTATTATGCCCTTTCATATATATGATCTCAATAATTGTCCAATGCATTAAAACACTGTACTGGCTGTGTATCCCATTAAATACAACTTGTGTATACAAAAATTACTGGCAGCATGTTATGATTCATTTCCTGCTTCCCAGGCCATCAGTTTTCATTTGGTTTCAGTTCATATTTGTCTTGAATCTTGCTTTAGAAAGGCAATCCCTGACAGTATTTACTTACCTTTTGTCATAGTTAAGTTATTGTTGCTTTTGAAAACCTTTCTTATTAGTGTATTCAAAAACAGTTTGCTGCCAAAAAGCATGGCATGTAATAGTAAAGTTGTTAGAAAGTCCAACACGAAAAGCAAATAAGAAAAGATGGGCAATGTTAAGAATAGTTTGATTTTTGGAATATATGGTTATTAGATTTTTTAGATTAGATTACTAGGTAAGGCAACCAGCAAAGTTCCAGCACGTAATTTCTGAAAAACACAGTCTCTTTTACACTTGTGTTTTTGTACAGATTAGGAAAACGCAGTATAATGAGTTAAGAGGTGCTCGTAGGCAGATTTTGTTACCTTTGGACAGAGCCAGGCTAGCTGTTTCCCTCTGATTCCAGTCTTTATGCTAAGCTAAGCTAATTGCCTGCTAACTCTAGCTTCATGTTTAGGGTATAAACATAATAGATTTTGCATCACCACAACCACACAACTTTCTTTGAGAAAAAAAAAAATATGAAGACTTAAATGTATGTTGCCATGAAGTCTCCAGTCAAGTAAGAAATGAGTAACAATGAACAATCCACCATGTCTCCTAGAAATCACAGTTGGTTGAGAAAAATACATGAGATTTTAAGTTAATTGGCTGAAAAAGTCAAATCTGTAAACTCATTCTGTACCTGTGCGTAGTTCTCAGGACGCGTCAGAAGAGGCAGCTCGTAAGCTGTTGAGAAATGTGTTCGGACCTGCTGCATTTGACCAAAACGCTCCCTTTTCCTCCATTTTGCCCTTCGGTTCTGGAACCAAACCTGCAGAGAGAAAATGTCTGAACGTTTATGTCTGAGAGAACAAGGGATCTTTGCTTTCATCTAGCCAAGTATCCAGTCTTGGTCTTGAGTCAATGAGACGTTTAAAATAAAAAACTGGAGTGTGACTTGTTCACTTAAACCCCTTCAACAGGACGTTTACCCCAAATCTGAAGGAAATACTTTTCTATAGATACAAATCTAAGTTCCCCTTCTGAAATGATCTTATGCAGTACTGCCAGAAAGCTGAAGGGCTGAATATCAAAAAACGGTATCGGCAGCACATCATAAATGCAAACTTCTTTTCAAACTCTAGTGTGAACTTGCAGAGCTGATGGAGCCTACAAACATAATTCAGAGGCAGTGGAAGTAATAAAGGTGTAAGTCTGCGTAGGCTGAGCTCAAGGTGTAAAGGAGCGGGAAATTGTAAAGAAAAAGAGGGAAAACAGCCACTGTAAACAGTGTGCTGCAGCCTTCACTCCACTTAGGTCCTCAAAACAAAATGTAAACAGATCTCATTCCCATTACCTTGGCTTATTTGTTGTCTAACAAGAGCAGGACTTTTTCGCATGACTCAATCATCCCTGACATCTAAATCTGACACCATTGTTTATTGAAAGAATGTTTGAATCTCCATCAGAGTGTGTGAAAGTAATCTAAATACATTTGTCTTTGATGTGCTTTAGACCTAACATGTAAAAATTCAAAACTCAATGTCATAATTTTATCCTTTGTTATACAACCTTTAACTATCTGATTGTTACTCCCTGACTGGACTGATTACCACACAAAACTTTTCCTTTTTCTGACCTACTCTCTCTTATTTCACGTATCAGCTCTTTGCCCGGACGCATCGCTACAAATTTAAGGAGGCAATATGGGAAATTGAAAAGCGAGATGGGATTATAACTGGGGTTTGTTTGCATTTTCCTTTTTAATTTCCTGAAGCCTGAAGCTCCTGGCTTTGAGATGCTGTCTCCTCCTAAGTTAGAGAAGCACACGGAGCAGAGTACGTAATCCTTCTTTCCTTGATGTTTTCATACATCTTTCTCTGCATTGTCTCACTCAGGATCTACACCGCTGCACAAGACACTGTTTCTCTAAAAGAATGTTGCTTTATGATTATTAGACGTTAAAAGATGCTTGTAATGTATCTCCACGTCCAAATATACAGTGTCACCGCAAGCTCTCATGCGCTCTCTGTCTGCTTTGTGCCCAGTCTGTTGGCTATTATACAGGGAGAACATATTTTTGTGTTGCACACACGGCGTTGTGACAGTAATTGGTAAAGACCATGACAGCTTAAGTAGCTGGTGGACTTTCAATGAGGCTTTATTTATGTTACAGCCCTAGAGAGAAAGAGCAGAGAAATGCCAAACTGGCCCCAGCAGGAGAGCTGTATGGGGCCGAAAACACTTTGAAGTGAGAGACCGGCTCAGAGGATTGATAACCCGCCTCTGCTGTCACTCATGTCAGCTTCCATACCAAAGTAAAAAGAAATCCAAGGCTGAGCCTGGCTTCAGTTTCCCAACACCCCCAAAGCACTAATAATATCATGGAAACACCTCTGAACCAGTGTTGTTGTTCATTAAATGTAAGTTTATTCAATTTTCCCCCAAATCCTCAACCACATAATTTCTTATTTCCCATGTCAATTAAAGGTAAGTCCAGGACAACAGTGGAGTGATACACAAGATTTATATGGTGCAATTTGAATTTGATTGTCTTTACTTTGCTGATTAGTGATGTGTTGTACCAAGACTCTACTACTTTAATCAACTTTATGTTTTCATATAATACTGGCCTTGTTGTCATTTCAAACTTTAGTTAACCGCTCAAGTATTATGCGTCCCAGTCCTCTCTGAATTAAGTTGTTTATTATCAATCTGACGAGAGCTGAACCTAACAATTATTTTGATTACTGATTAAACTGAAAATTACTTTCTCGATTCATCGATTAATATTTAAGTCCATAAAATCCAAACATGATATATAAATTACCAATTTCAATTTAACAATTTCATTAAGTGAAAGTGATGTTTCATCATCTTTTCATTCAGTTCAAAATTGATTCTTTTTAAAATCACACAAGAAACAACCTCACGATTAAGAAGCTGAAAACCAGGGACTTGATTGACTTGACTAATTTAATCCCTGACATATTTTACATTCGTGTCAGTAGAAAAGTGATCTTTGTCAGAATTTCTCTCTTCTCTCTCTTTTTGGGTTAAAAATGTTTTGACCCTTTTTTAGCATATCTGCAAGTTGTAGTGACCCTGTGTTTGAGGGGGCCATCGTCTACTTCCTAATCCGTCAGTCAGGCTTTCCTGCAGTTTCATCTTCCATTAACTGTTTGGATCTATAAACTCATATGGACACCTGTGTTTGCCTGGTGAACTCCACATGTCAGATGCCATCTCAGCTCTCTGAGCTCTCTGGGCTAACAGAACGGCAAATCTGAGAAGTGATGTGATGTTGTTGAAACCCCGACCCTTGACCCCTGACCTTCCCATGTATCTGTAGTGCATATGACTCGGATCTGAACTTACTTTCTCCCTTTGAAAGGCTGAGACTGAAAAAGCAAACAACTCCAGACGCTGACGTTTTTTTAACTGAAAGCCGTTGTTTTTTCTGTGTGAGAACCATCAGTCAATGAGGTGTATTATCACCCTCCTCAGAATTATACTCACATCCTTTAGGGATTTTTTAGTTTTTGTATTTTAACAAAAATGCTTGTAAATTTTAAAACTTGGAGTAAACTTTTCGGCAGCGGTAAGGTTTTTTTCTTGACATTTTTTTCACTCCTGACACAGAATTCATGAGCTGTGAGTCCTTTTGCGTGTGAATGACCTGAATGGAGCGCAGAGCCCTGTTCTCTGACAGACTAGGCATCTCGTGTCTTTTATCTTTTTAACTTGAGTGTTTAAGAGGGCCGCTGGGAGAGCCGAGGGCTGTAAAGCTGCATCCATCTGAAGCAGTCAGGTCTGTGATAGTATGAGCAGCAGTGCAGAGCAGAGCAGCATACCCTCAGAGCCTCAGGGTTGAGTTATAACCCTGCGGCTGCACAGACTTCCTGTGTTTCACTGCAAAGCTTTTCTGGTCACCGTTCCAGCTCGTCATGTAAAAGATTGGTTTTAATTGAGCTCTTATCTCATCCCATGTATGGCGCTGCCACACAATAAAAATGAAGCCAGAGTATTGTATCATTGCATTTGTTTTAACAAAGACTAGAATATGACATATGCCTCAAAAAATTCTCAAAAGTCAGATATGACTGAAAATGTAAGTTGCTAACTTGCTCAGAGCTCATGGGAAGCATTTCACACCTACCCTGGACACCACAGCAGGGACACATTCTTGTCTGAACAGGATGTTAATGAAAGAAAAACACAGAAAATCCAGGGGCTTTGATGGTCCGTAGTGCACATACACACACACACACACACAGACAGACAGACATATACACCACGCATATGTACAGGAATGGTGGAGGTCTCTTTCTCCAGTGTTGGAATGCATTACAGCAGTCATGACCAGATTGTATGTTAATCAGGCCAGAAGGTCACTAGAAGGGTTTCGGTCACAGAGGTGCTGTATGCCTCAGGCTCTACTAATAACAGCTGAACTGAACTCACAAATTCAGGAAACCAAGCAGCTACAGGTACAGAGAAAAAGACCACTGAGACGATCCCATCGATCCCACACAGCAGAGTCAAACAAGTCTCCTCATATGTTGATGAAAGTCTGCTCTCCTAAAACTGCACATATGAGGCCCAGGCAGCTCAAACCTCAGCCCCATGGGCCCCCTGGCCTCTGTTGGCTCCCACTCCCCCACTCTCTCCCCTCGACTCCCACATTACCAGATAAATCTCTCATGTTGTTCTGTGAGTGACGTTATCTCTGTAGAGCTGCAGATGTTGAAGGATCCATGAGGTTGTGTTATTTAAACATTGTCTGTTCTGCTGTGATGAAGAGCTCTCTTTTACTTATTGATAGGAGAGGCATTTGGTTACATGTAATGTTGCCACGATTAGATATTGATTAGACAAGTGTGGCGTTTTTTAAATTAACCTCAGTGTGCTATTACAAATCTGGTATGTTTGTGTTTCCTTTTATATATCTACCAGCTGTTGTTTTTTTTTTTTTTTTTTTTTTTTTTTTTTGCCTCTTTAGCTGCATATGAGATTACCAAATTGTTGAGTGTCCTGTATTACCTGCACACGGGCTTCAGTCAGGTCGGTCCTCAGTGCCAGCTGTTCCCGGGCGTAAACATCAGGATAGTGCGTCTTCTGGAAAACCTTCTCCAGCTCCTCCAGCTGGTAGCTTGTAAAGGTTGTGCGGTTGCGCCTCTTCTTGCCCTTGTTGCTTTCGCCGCCATCACCCTTGTCCAGAGGGCTTGACAAGTCTGTGCCTGGTGGTCGATCAGAGGCTGCCTTCACGCCCTGATCCTTCACAGTCAGGTAGCTGGTGTCCATTCCAGGTGGGTCGGAGTCCGGGGCCAAGTCAGAGTCTGTCAGGCCTGAACTATCTTTACCTGCAGACACAGAAAGGAGATGAAAACTGTTAAAAGATTTATGTTTTCATGATTTTATCAAGATAGAATCTGATCTTTTTGAATGAAGGGAAGCGTGAGAAAGTAAGATCATTACATTATGTCGAGCAGAAAGGAGTGTTATAACTTGGCTTTTATAGACACAATCTTTCACCTTTAGTGAACAGCATATAAAAGTATACTAAGATAGATGTACACGTAATGCATTATGTTCTACTGCTATTTGTAAAGACAAGGCAGAGTTCACTGATTTAAGTCATGTGTTTTGGATGTGGATTCTTCCAAAGAATAAGATGATAAAGCTCACAGGAAAAGCTGTTAATATTAAAACGTCCCCCTCATCCTCATCTCCCTCTTTCTGGTGCCTCATTCAAAATACTGAAGCCGGTATTTTTGCAATATTGTCTATCCAACATCTGTCTAAAAGGTTTATTGGACATTTAGTTTTTTAGTCAAAATACAAATGTCTTTAATTCATAAAATGTGAATACATGAGTCAAATGGTAAAAGAGGATTTACTCATTTTTTTTCACCTTTATAGAAGGATTTTTGTCATAAATTACATATATATTTTAATCACCAACCGTGACAAACATTGTTCATTTCTGTTAGTACCTTCAGCAAACAGATTTAAAAAATATTTAATGAGCCTCTACTCTATTCAACTCTAATATTCAGTCACTTGCCTCTGGCAGAATATTCATAACTTGTGATTTATTTGTAGGATCAGTATAATAATTCATGGGGTTTGAAGGGTGGAACAAAGGAATTTCTCACTCTTTGTGAGGAAATGACAGTTGTGAAATCTGTTGGCACACAGTACCGAGTATGTGTCGATTTGTTTGTCTATGTGCCTGTGTAATGAATGGCCTGGATCACTGGCTTCTTACAGGATCCAGTTGTAGTTCGTAGATCATTCTGTGATGTGCTGGGGAACAGACACCCTGGCCATAATTTGAGACTGTACCCTCCCCAACCACCCACACCCTCTGCTGCAAGACACACACACTCTCTCTCTCTCTCTCTCTCTCTCTCTCTCTCTCTCTCTCTCTCTCTCTCTCTCTTTCACTCAGACTCTGTTTATCAGTCCTGCACATGGCTGAGGTCTATCTTGTGGCTGCAAAGTCACCTGGCAGCAAGACTGTCGCAGTTAATTTGCTGGGAAGTAATTTGTAGCCACACGAAAAAAGAGAATGGCCCATCTTTGTACTCTCTCTTTCTTTCTCTGTCACACACATACTTGCTTTTTTCATGGCTGTAGCTTAACTATTAAACCTTTCTGATTATAAATTTCCACAGCTTGTCTATGCCAGTGTTCTTGTCTAAGCTGGCAGACTCTTTTTCACCCTGCTGCTGCCCTTGGCCTAACTATCCAGTTTATATACACATCATAAAGGATGTAATAGGTGAAGGCGGTTGGTTTAATGACGTCTACGTGCAGTCTGGCTCAGTCTACTAGCAACAAGCAGTGCTGCACCTTCCCGCACCTCGATACCATCTGAGATGAAGTTATTTTCAGGATGGAGGACGTCTCTGCTCATCTGCCCATCCAACGATTTGTCAGGTTAGAACCAGGAGGTGTGTGCGTTCATGTGAGCTCCGTGTGCAAATCTCAGCACTCAGTCAGCACAGAAGATCTCTCGCACACACACACACACACACACACACACACACACACACACACACACACACACACACACACCCAGTGACCCTCATCTCACTGCCATGTTGGGTAATGTGCTGCAAGGTGAGGTGAAAGGATAGCTTATCATGGACTGACTTTCTCCTACACAGACACACACACTAAAGTGTATATTTCAAGTGCAGTCTTAGTAGGATACGTGATAAATTATAGTACCAAGATGTAGGCACAAGGATGTTTAAAAGGGTCTGAAGGTTGTGGGATTTATCCATATGGATACATTTTACCAAACATCCCTTAACTATTTTAGTGCATATTATGCTATTATGTTTGGGAGAGCTTTAATGTTATTTCATGTTATCATCATATGTGACCTTTGTCCCTCTGAAGGTATGCATGCAGAGACCCAGTGTCACATGAAGGTGCTGGACTGATGTTATTTTATTCTTTTCAGGTATGTAAACCCCAGTTTTTGTTTTGGAGATTTGTTTTGTTCTACCATTGTACGTTGTTTTTTTGTAAAAAAAGAGGGTTAGGGTTTGGGTCAGTACCAAAACTGTATTGAGATTTGATGGCCAGATCTAGTAATGGGCCGCAGCCTTTGTTTTCATTCACTCCAACTGAAGCCTTGTTGACGAGAGCTGCATGCAGATGTGAATTGTCAAATAAAGTTGTTGTAATGGTTTTGTTTTATTTGATCCAGCTTTGCAAAAAGATGGTAAAACTTGTCTTGCTGAACAGTCTCCATTCTGTAGTATCGGACTGATGATTAGAGTATGACGCAGTGACGAACAAATAGTACTATTAAATGAATTTATACCTAATGTAAACTATCACTTGGAAGCATGTTATGCATATGAAACATGTAAGGGGGGGCCAGTGGGGGGACCAGCGACTGTATCAGGGGGGTCGTGGTCCCCCTTACCCCCTTTGGCGGTGCCACTGCCGTGCTGAAAACTGACTCGGGCTGAGGGGCCATGTTTTGGTGGCAGGGTGCTCACTGGGGGTCTAACGCCCGCAAAATTGCCTCGCTGTCCATGACGAACACATCCTGTTAGGTTTGAAGGGAGCAAATGTGTTTTATCCCTGCATAAACACTCTCTAGTTATTTCATCATATTTCCCTGGCCTGCACCCACAGTCCCCACAAGGCAAGAGCTGTCAGGCTGTTTGAAACCATGAGGCCTCTCTCTGATCAAAGGCCATTGTTTGTATCGCATGTCATTGATGTTTTTTTGGCAAGAGTTGGATATTGTGACAATCTCCTCCTTGTTATCCATGCGATCTGCTGTAGCTGTGAGGCTTTCCAACACTGCCCAAGGTGAACAGCAGTGGGCCCTCCTGCAGGGAACGCCATATGTATGAAGAACATGGAGATGTCTTATTGCGAACATGTCAGGATGTCATCTCTGTGGAAAGAGGCAGTAAATAATTGACTGTGCGCTGCATCAAAACTTTTGTCTCAATGTTCATTAGTACAGTTGGCTTTTTCTTCCATTACATGGCATGAAAACAAATGCCCAGCCCCCCTAAACTGCCACCCCAGTTTGGTGTGAAATGCTGTCAATTTTAGGACATTAATTTAGATTCATTTTCAAAATAACATGATTAAGAAAGAAATCAATTTAAAAATCTGTTATGGCCACAAAAGTGATAGGCTTTGAGATGGAAAAAAAAGACAGATTTCTAATGCCACCTTTATTAAATATTTCTACTCAATGCTTCACTAATGTGCCACAGTAATGGAATATTCTTAGTTCAAATTTTCCAAGCACATTGATATAAGTGATCAATTAAAATCAGAATAGATTTCTGCCACCCCTAAAAGTATCCATGCCATCCCATGAATATTTCTCTAGATCCACCCCTGACAAAAGACTATTTACACCTGCACTTCTGCATCTACTGTCTTTAACACAAGTGCTCCAACAATAATCCAGCAAACTCACAAACCAGAATAATTTTTTTCTTTTCGGATGAATATGCCATGCACAGTGTTTTGAGTTGCAACCACAGAATGTTCTATTTTCACTGCAGTGGATCCAACAGTCAGCATCTGTTCCAAGTACCGTGAAGTGTGCAACTGGTGGGCACAGAGAAAGTTCTGCAGAAATTAAATACACAAAAAGTGCTTCAGAACAAACTGAGCAGTAATTTTCAGTTAATCGGAATATTTCCACCCGAGTACAGGACAACACATGAGTTTGTGTACAAATTTTCACATGCAACGTACACCACAGTTTAGTATTTATTCTTGCAGCATGGTGTCATTGTTGGCATTGACATCAAAATCAAAATATTGATTTATTTAAGACCCTCCACCGCGCCTTATTTTTAATATTGTATGGCGCTTCCTGCTTGGATTATCAGCACCAAAATTACGCTCTTTTGGGTCAGACAGGCAACGTGGACAGCTATTAATTCACAGTTGAAAACGAGGGAGCAACATCAAAGTGTAATTTAACTGGCTGTAAAGCGACAGGGCACCTTCCCTGCCTCTTTATTGACTGGGATGACTGAGGTCAGCTCACAGTGTTAAGAGGAAACTCTATAAATTACACACCACACGGCGACTGAGAGAGATTAACAACATGTTGCTCAAACTGAAAAAGAAATATCCGAAACAGAGGGAAGCGTAAACAGTAGAGAGAAAGAGAAAAGGACAGAGAAAATACAGTTTGTCAAACTAACTCTGACATAACATGAAGCTTTCAGTGGTGTCTAACTTTTAACGTCTTGTTAGGCTGAAAAGACAGAGACAGGCTGAGACACTGATGCCCAATGCTGTGTGGGCTGGACACTCAAACCAAGGCAAGAATTATCAAATACATTTACTCAAGTTCTGCACTTTTTTTGAGCTACTGTTTTTATTTTATGCTACTTTACTATTTAAATATTGTATTTCACTCCAGTATTATCTAACAGCTGTAATTAGTAGTTATTTTGCAAATTAAAAATTTACATAAGTTAAATAATTGAGTTGTTATAGATTAAGCTACCCAACGCTAACAATTATATAAAGTAGATAAAAGTAGCTTTATCTTCACCCGCTACAATATTAAAATCCTGCTTACACATTAATGCATATTTAATTCAGAATAATCCAATAAAATAATGTATAATACTACAACACAGATGGCCCATTCTGCTGCATACATAGTTTCACTTTTGATGCTTTAAGTATATTTGCTGATAATACTATATTGCGGCATTGCTATTTTTTACCTACCATAACCTGCCATTTTTTGGCCACTTGGGGGCAGTGGAAACACATTTTAATATCATGTCACAACTTTTCGGGTTGATATGGTAAACCTATTTGCAAACAACTATTTATTTAC